CTGTTGAAATACATTGCAATTATTGGAGAAAACACTAGCAAAGAAATTGCCCAATGCAACTGCTTTGTCAGTGTCAGAAAAACATTTGCGTCCGTTACTATCGACTACAACAGAGGAATTCCCAAAACTTTTCAGTCTGTTACGTAGGTAAATGTGAAGATTTCTCATGGAGGTGTTTGCTGCTAGACGGCGCTCGCGATTGATCAAAAATTTTTTGAGGTGGTGGTTGATGTCAGAACAAACTTTTTTATAGTAGGGGTTATTTAACGGATCTGTCGAGTTTTGAAAAATTCTTTGTTTCTGAGAAATCAAGTTATGGATATGAGTAGGAAATCTGAGATAACCTGACCGTTGATATCTCAGAGGAACAAAACGTCCCAATTTTTCATAAACCACCAAACAAAACCTGCGATATAGTTCCGATACAGAAGTATAATGATCAAAAACATTTAACCAATCTATTTCATTAAATGCGTGATTCAGTGAGGTGTAATCCGCATGAATAAAATCTGGAGTCGGTAGAAAGGTTGAATTCGAGCAAACAGCATTTACATCGAAATGAATGATCGAGTGGTCGGACGTAGAAAATGGAGGGAGTATAGCAATGTTTCCCACGGTAGGCGATGTCGAAAGAATTATATCTAGAGTGTTATTCATATGAGTAGGGTGCCTGACCAATTGCGTTAGACCCGAGTTCACGAAAAACTCCTTGAAATTATTGGAACTTGAATTATGTGCAGTGGAATGAAGCCAATCAATTTGGAGATTGAAGTCACCAAGAACTATCGTGTTTTCTTTTGATGAAACAATAGTGGATAGAAGGCTAATTAGACTGTCATCATCATTTTTAGTAGAACCGGGAGAACGATAAACAATCGCAAATCTCATACAAATTATGTCAGCTGGAGCAATTGTTTCAACACAGAGAACGTCAGCTTTGAGAGCAGTATCATGTGGAAATATTTGTAGTGGGAGAGTGTTTTTGAAAATGCAACAAACACCACCTCCTTTACCTATCTTTCGATCAAGTCGATATATGTAATAAGGCAGATCGGCTAAAATTTCAGAGTCTTTTATTCTCGGGCTGAGCCATGTCTCAGTCACGAAAACTATATCAGGCTTTTCACTAGTGAGAAAAAGTTGAATTTGAGCGATTTTATTAACGAGGCTGCGAGCATTGAAAAGAAAACATGAAAGAGGCGCATGTAAACCTTGCATGACTAAACGTTTCCCGACAGTCTATTAAGCCTATTAGGCAGTTCGGACACACGCTTAAGTTCTCCTCGGTAAACTACCCATTCCTTTTTACTTTTCCCTTTATTTCTTTCTTTTGCCATTTGCCTCAATTCATATTCACGTTTCCTTTCCTCTCGAGTCATACTTCTTCTCACGAATATGCCGGTGAAGTCAGTATCACGAAGTTTATATGCATTTCCCAGTGCTCTAACCCAGTGACTGGTTGAAGGTAAAACAACTTTAACCAGCCGTGGTTTTGAGGGGTCTGATTTTCCCATGCGAAACACTTCAGTAGGCCTACATTCGACATCGAGTGCATCGAGAATGCTACAAACCTTGTTTTCAAGTTCTCTTTGACGCATCGATGGGGAGAGAGTAACAATCTTTAGTGTTTTTCAGTGCTATTTGACGCGATCGAGTGGGGAGAGCAGTGAGTTTCGATTGTCCTGTATCCAGGCAGGGAGGTAGAGGGTACGCGACGTTGTTCTGTCTACCAAAAGATGAATTCCTTTGGGATCTGTTTCAGTTATGCATGTAAGCGTTTGGCGGCGTATTAGGATCTGCTATTCCGTCTTAATGCTGAAAGGGGTTCGTGGAGCCGACATACGCTGGTAGTTCAGAGCTCCGGTAAGCGTTACAGTGGATTCGCGTTGATCATGTGAATGAGTGGATGTCTGTCAACCTGTTATTCTGACTCCGGCTTACTACTTAGCCATGACTGGTTTCACTAGAGCAGGACTATTAGAAATGTCAAATGACGTATGCCCCAAAATTTAGCGTGGTGGTGTTACTTGTGGTATGTCCGCCCGGCTTATCCTGGAGAGGTTTGCCTGTAAGCAACCGGCCACCACCGTCGAATGATGATGAATGATGATGAATGAATTGAAGAAATGATTGATGAAATGAAGTAATTGAATACGTTTGCTCACAGCTCTCCCTCGCTGAAGAAATTCTGGCTCAGAGAAGAAGCAAAGGAGAAAATGGTTGCTTTGAGGAACGATCGATCACCCTATTTCACAAGTTGGGCGTTGAAGCCGCTTGCACGATTCGGGCGCGTTTCGAACCCATTCGAGCCGGAACGCACAAGTAAGTGTAATTTGTACTTTTGCTCACAGCTTTCCCTCGCTGTAGAAGTTCTGGCTCAGAGAAGAAGTGAAGGGAAAATGGTTGCTTGCAGATACCGGATCAACACTAATTCCAACAACAAGGCGCATGAGCCCTGGCCACGGAGTCGGCAGCGTCGACACAATCCGAGCAGAACGCACAGTGTAATTGACTCTGTTGCGCACGCTTTCTCGTGGCAGATATTCTGGTTATGAGAAAAGTAAGGGGAATGGTTGCGTTGCAGTATGGAATCGTCATGATGTCCAGACACAATGGGCATGAGCCGTGCACGGGAGTCGGCGCGTAACAAGATGGTTATAATTGTTTTCTCTCGTGGTGTGTGTTGTTTGCAGTCGAGCGGGGTTGTTATCAAACCTTATTGGCGGGAGACTAGAGGTTTCTCGGCCGAGTGTGCTTCTTCGGAAACCTAAGGGTTGAACTCAATTTGTGAATACCGGTCAAACGTCCTCCCTTAACCCTTTACGGCTTCGGACGGTAACGTGACGCCACAGCACCACGAAGGAATGTGTTTCTTCCTTTATCGACTGTGTCTTTTTAGAATAGTCTCGCTTAGAGTTAGGATGGAATGTAGTCGCACTAACCCGGTGCTAGTCCCGTGGCTATTGCAATGACATTCGTCGGTCGACTCATTTGGGGTTGGTGTCCCGATGGTGAGATCCAACGCTTGACGTTGGTTCCGCTCGACCGTTGTGTTCGTGTCCACTGATCGGTTACTAGATCTATCAACAGGTCTCCTGTTATGGTTCGGGCCTGTGACATTGCCACACGCGTAGATAACGGTGTACTTGACATTGCAATTAGTTGCTCTTTTGATCCGCATAAGTGGTCTGCGGGTTCACTAGGTGTACTCATTTCATTGTTTGACAGGAGATTTTGCCAGATCCCGTCGGCGTGTGTGTGAATATATAATGATAGGAGATGATATAGTAATTACCTCTCTGCCGGTAGGACAAATTACGCAATTTGGGGTATCAGTGCGCCGTCCGTTGTACCGAGTTCGCGAACTAGGCGATGCTTTAGGTTACTGGGGGTAATCTCCACGACGCCAACGTGGTTTTCTAGACCCGATCTCCTCAGGCACTTCCTTATGGAGTTGCTAAAGAAGGTTATAGTTTGTTGAACCTGTCTTTGGTGTCGCTTTGGGATAGCTCATTTCAATTGCTTAGCTATGGGGATCAGGCCTTTCACATAGGATAGTGAGCCTACACAGGGTCCGCTGCGTCAGACAATTTGAGCAGAGCGCCAGCAGAGGTGAGACAATGTTTAATGTTGGCATAGCTATGGTGTTGCGCGGGATATGTTTCCTAGAAAATGCTTGTCCGTCAGATTTTGGGGTGTAACACTACTTCCAACAACAAGGCGCGCATGAGCCCTGCCGCGGAGTCGGCAGCGTCGACACAATTCGAGCAGAACGCAACAAGTAAGTAATTGAATACTTTTGCTCACAGCTTTCCCTCGCTGCAGAAGTTCTGGCTCAGAGAAAAAGTAAAGGGGAAAATGGTTGCTTGCAGATACCGGATCAACACTACTTCCAACAACAAGGAGCATGAGCCCTGCCACGGAGTCGGCAGCGTCGACACAATCCGAGCAGAACGCACAAGTAGGGTAATTAAATACTCTTGCCTCGCTTCCATCGCGGCGAAATTTGCTGGTCAGATGAAAAGTAGGGGGGGAAATGGATTTGCTTTGCTAGATAGCCGGGTCAACACTATTCACAACAAGGCGGCATGGCCCTGCACGCGGAGTCGGGGCAGGCGGCCGACATCGAAGATATATAGTTCAACGATTTCTTTCAAACTGCTCACGAGGTTGTTATCAAAACCTTTATTGGCGGCTAACGTTTCGGCGATGTCGCCTTCTTCGGAACCTAAAGGGTAGAACTCAATTTGTGAATACACGGTCAAACGTCTCACTTACCTATACCGGTTCGACGTAATTGAACCGCCGCACACCCAAGAGGGGGATGTTCCATTCCGTTGGATAGAATCTCTGAGTCTTTTTTAGAAAGATCGCATTTTAGAGTTTAGGAGGATGACTGTGCTAATCGGGGCTAGTCTCCCGTGCTTGGACACGCATTCGGTCCGCTTGAGACTATTTGTGGATTTCGATGTTGAATAAGGCTGCAAAGTTGCCGCGGCGACCGTTTTTGTGTTTCCGTGGCGCACTCGGTTCACGTTTTCCCAATTCGTCTCGTTTGCTGGTTCTCGAGGCACATGTGATCCACACCGTTAGTAGACGCGTGACTTTTGCTTGGGCGCATGGCGTAGCATGCTCTTTGTCGCACAGTTGGAGTGGGCTTGCCGGTTCCCTATGTACTCTTCAATGTTTTGACAGGAATTTTGTAGCCCCCCCCCCCATTTGCACATTCTCCTTCCCTGCCGGTAGGACAAATTACGCAATTCGGGATCATACATGCGCGATCGTAAACACGATTTCGAACTAGGCGATGCTTCAAGTTACTGGGGGTAATCTCCACGACGCCAACATGGTTTTCTAGACCCGATCTCCTCAGGCACTTCCTTATGGAGTTGCTAAAGAAGGTTATAGTTTGTTGAACCTGTCTTTGGTGTCGCTTTGGGATAGCTCATTTCAAAATCTGCCTAGCTATGGGATCCAGGCTACTTCCAACAACTAGGAATATGAGCCCTACCACAGGGTCCGCTGCGTCAGCACAATTTGAGCAGAGCGCAACAGGTAGACAATGTATTAGTTGTTGGCAATAGCTATGGTGTTGCGACGGGATCCTGTTTCACTGCAAAATTTGCCTCTTGCAGATATGGGATCTAGCCTACTTCCAACAACTAGGCGCATGAGCCCTGCCACGGAGTCGGCAGCGTCAACACAATCAGAACATAGTACTACAGGTTAGTTGTTGACCCAGGCTTTGGTGTAGAGATTTATATTTATGTTTATATTTATTATCACTTCAACATCACATCAAAGGTGGCTTATAAAATAAAACTCAAGTACCGATAGAAAGAACATCAACGAACTCATCCAATGAACATCAAGAAGTGTTCCAAATAGTTGTAGTGTGATAATTAATGTGTAATTGTATATATAAAAAAAGGGGGTAGGGGAGAGAAGGCCGCCGGCAGTGGAGTGAAGACAGCGCAGAAGGGCAGTGGGCCGCCAACACTGCAAGTTCTCACGGGCGTGAATGAGAACTCCGGATACCATCGTAGTAGGTCCGCCAACGTTGCTGAAGTCCACATGCCACAGCGGTAGAAGTCGAGGGGAGGAGGGGGGCAAGACAAAAACGCGCAGCGCATAGCGCAAAACAACTGAAAAAAGAGTACACCACAAAAGAGAAGCCATTGAGAGAAGAAGTATGCAACGGCAACTTCATAAATGACCGGAACAATTTCCAAGGTACATTGGGGAAAAATCGTAACAGCTAATCAGAGGCTAGAGAAAGATCCAGAAACAAAGCAAGAACATGAACGATCGCTTCTCGTCTTTAGAAGCGAAACTGAGGTAAAAAACAACTGATTGGATATGCCCGTTAATGTCTTTTTTGGTCACAAAAATAGGAAGCGCGAGAGTTGATCGTTGCAATCCTACTCTTTCGCCCTCACGACCGCATCGGTAAACATTTTAATCGGAGCCCTCAGCATAGCGTCATGGGTGGACCATGGTTTGCACCAACTCTCGGTAATGAAAACCCCATCGGGCTTATCGCGCAAGATGAATTCAGGCCTTCAATTTTATTCACAATTGAACGGGCGTTGAAAAGCAAAAGTGATAATGGGAACTACACAAGGGTTGATAAGAGTGCATAGAACAACGTGCATTTGCCCCTCCTCGTCCTAGGGCAGTATCATCTACTTGAGTGGAAGTACTGTTCCCTTGGTGGTGATATAGGGGTGGCCGATGTGGACTGTTGACTGTGACGAGATATGCGTCGGTCACGCGGATTCTTGAGCTTGTGTATCGCAAGGTCCCGTACTACATATGCCAGTTTCCCCTCTTGACTATTCATAATGTCAGCTTTTCTTCGCAATTCACGATCAAATTCTACCTCTTCTTTTGTGTAGTCTGGCCGTGCATATGAATGTACAAACTCTTTAGTTAGAGATTGACGCAAACTTTTCATGTGTCCTAGAAGGCGATCTCTCAGCTCCTGATTCTTCAGTCTGATCTTGATAATGCGTGAGCGGGGGTTTGAGGTTCGCTGGTTCCTTTTTAGGGTACCTGTGGAAATCGATGCGGTTGCTGTTAAACTCGTCGAGGAGTTCACTATCTCCCGACGTTTCCACAGCTTCCTTAACACGTTGACGACATCGCGCGTTTTGTGCTTTTGCACCGCGTGGGACAGAGCGATTTTGCGAGCGCCGCCGCCGCACACCAAATCCATGGATTTTGAGCTGTAAATACGCAATACTTAGATGCGATGAAATGTTTTCAATGATGTTCGATCTGTCTAGCTTATCAGGAGTTACAGTAATGGAAGTTTGACCGAAATGACGTGTTAAGGCCATGAAAAGGGAAATTTTACTTAATTTCCCTTTAGTGGTTCCAAAATTAATTTGGACGTGGTTGTTTCAGTAAAAACACATATCTTCCCATACGAATAGGTTTGTATTCGCTTCTATTATTCCTTTTTATCAACATGTTACGTTAATGAAAAGAAAACGAGGAATGAACTGAACAGACATATCCGTAAGGTCTGGAAAACCTCTGCCAAACTAAAGAATATTTGGCCTTTCTGTGAGCCATGTGGTTTTTAAGTATGCTAATGTATGACCTATAGAATGAGTACAAAGACCTTAGGAATAAGTCGCGCAAGCGCAAGAAAAAGGGATGACTTGTGGGAAGGGGCACAAAGTGGGACGCGTTACCGCGTCACGCTGTCGTCAACGTGGTACTGGCCCTCCTGTCAAAAATGCGCGTCGCCTCCTCTGTGGCTTTATCCGCAATGCCTATCCATGCAGTTCTACAAGACTTTTCGTCAACATTCTTGCGTCCGACCTAAATTTTGAAAGTAAGCTGTATAAAGCTGGACTAGGGGTACTAATTAAAAGAAAACCTACACTGCGACGCATAATTATAGTTCCACCTACAAATTTCCCAAAAACTTGAATCTGGGGATGTTTTTGAAAAGGGCTCTACAGACAAATTGTGACACATATAAACGCGAATCTGAATATTAACACGGAAATCCAGTTTGAGAAAGCAACAATTTTTTATCCTCATTTTTTCGAAAATACCCGCTTTGCCTATGACGCAAAATCATAGTTCCACCTCATGTTTCTCCGCTGCATTTTGCTTTTACCCAATCAAATTTTGAAATTATTACCCATTCAAGTCCTTAGCTTATAGCAAAGGCAAAACTGCTGTCAGACTTCCTTAAATTCTTTCATTTGTGATTTTTGAGTTGCGCCTTTCTTTCTCTTAACGTTTTTCTTTCTCAGATCGGTTTTCTACTTCGTAGCACACATGTATGGAGAAGAAAATGATCAGGAGGATGGTCAGAGGTTCCAAAATATCACAGATAAAAAAGTGTCCTCACTTCGCTCTACTTAGCAAAACTTTTTGAGAAAAATGGCTCGTTTTTCTCTCTGATTTCTTTTCACAAAAAGCGTATTTCTTATCTTCCAGACATGGACTGTCACGAGCGTGTTGTAAAACACGTGAAACTGCGTCCATTGAGACACTAACTTTTGAAGAAGTTTTGATTTCCGTACCCGGCTGGATAAAGTTGTATTATTTTCTCACGATACGGCGCTTATCTCGGTCGGATAGTAATCAGGGTTCCTCCCAGTATCATATCCTGTAGCATCCTTGAGAAATTTGTTCGTTATGAAGTCACCCCGACAAATTCCAGCGTGAGCTGACACTTCGACAATTCCTGCGTCTCTTTTGCTAGGATTTTCCTTTTACGGAAGTCTGACAGCGGTTTTGCCTTTGCTATAAGCTAAGGAACTTGAATGGGTAATAATTTCAAAATTTGATTGGGTAAAAGCAAAATGCAGCGGAGAAACATGAGGTGGAACTATGATTTTGCGTCATAGGCAAAGCGGGTATTTTCGAAAAAATGAGGATAAAAAATTGTTGCTTTCTCAAACTGGATTTCCGTGATGATATTCAGATTCGCGTTCATAATCAACCCCAGATGCAAGCTTTTGGGAACTTCTGTAGCTGGGAACTATAATTATGGGTCGCAAGTGTATTTTCCAAAGCATCGAGCTTATTGAGGCCGAACATTTTGTCGAAGCGCTCGAACATTCCATCGAGGCACTCAAAGAAACTGTCCCACCTGGGTTTCAGGATGGGTTTTAGCCATACAGACTCACCGTGGTAGAGACCGGGGGGACTTACATTTTGGCTGGTATGTTTTCGGGATGCAAATGGGAAGCAGAGGGCGGTACTCAATACCTACGGCGTAAAAATAGTATATCAGCAAGGGCCAACAGGCTAGACAAAGAAAAAGGAACTCCGATATGGCTACTTCAATAATAGGTGGAAGAAGACAAAACCGCGACGGTTGGGCAAGCGCAAATCAGATCAGCAATCAATAATCAGGCAGATCAGTAATCGGCAATCAACGTGGCGCGCAGCAAAATCCTCAATAAGCTGGCAGGGGTGCACTACGGAGCAGAGAAAAGGTTATCCAAAAGAAGATCTGGGGGTAGAGGTAGCTGCTTAGAAGGGGAAAACTGCTAGAGGAGAAAAACTAAAATAAAATAATAAAATTAGGCAGCAAGTGATATGGGGTTCTGTTTCATCTCAAAGTGGATTGCAGATGTCGGAGCTAGGGCACTTCCAACAAATAGGGGGATGAACACTGCCACGGAGTCCGCAGCGTCAACACAATCAGAACATAGTACTACAGGTTAGTTGTTGACACAGGCTTTGGTGTCGCGATGGGATTCTGTTTCATTTAGTGGGCCAATTGCAGATATGCGATCTGGCCTACTTCCAACAACTAGGAGCATGAGCTCTGCCACAGAGTCCGCAGTGTCAACACAATCAGAACATAGTACTACAGGTTAGTTGTTGACCCAGGCTTTGGTGTAGAGATGGGATTCTGTTTCATTTCAAAGTGGGCTAATCGCAGATGTCGGAGCTAGGGCACTTCCAACAAATAGGGGGATGAGCACTGTCACGGAATCCGCAGCGTCAACACAAACTAAGAAGAAAGCAACAAGTAAGTGATTGAATACTTTTGCTCACAGCTTTTGCCTCGCTGTAGAAATTCTGGCTCAGAGAAGAAGTAAAGGAGAAAATGGTTGCTTGCAGATACCGGATCTACACTACTTCCAACAACCAGGAGCATGAGCCCTGCCACGGAGTCGGCAGCGTCAACCAAAGAAGGTTGTGATTGTTGACCCTAGCTTTGGTGTCTCGATGCAATTCTGTGTCATTGCAAAATCTGCCTGTAGAAATGAGATCTCATCTACTTCCAACAACTACAAATGTGAGCCCTGCCACGGAGTCGCAGCGTCAACACAATCAGAACATAGTACTACAGGTTAGTTGTTGACCCAGGCTTTGGTGTAGAGATGGGATTCTGTTTCATTTCAAAGTGGGCTAATCGCAGATGTCGAAGCTAGGGCACTTCCAACAAATAGGGGGATGAACACTGTCACGGAATCCGCAGCGTCAACACAAACTAAGAAGAAAGCAACAAGTAAGTGATTGAATACTTCTGCTCACAGCTTTTGCCTTACTGTGGAAATTCTTGGCTCAGAGAAGAAATGAAGGAGAAAGTGATGGCTTGCAGATACTGAATCTAGACTACTTCCAACTTTCCGCAACGACAGGTCGGATGTTACTTGTCCTACAGAGTCGCAGTGGTCAAACCCGCAAGTTCAGGTTGTGATTGTTGACCCTAGCTTTGGTGTCTCGATGCAATTCTGTGTCATTGCAAAATCTACCTGTAGAAATGAGATCTCATCTACTTCCAACAACTACGAACGTGAGCCCTGCCACGGAGTCTGCAGCGTCAACACAATCAGAACATAGTACTACAGGTTAGTTCAGTTAGTTGTCACAGGCTTTGGTGTAGAGATGGGATTCTGTTTCATTTCGAAGTGGGCCAATCGCAGATTTCGGAGCTAGGGCACTTCCAACAACTAAGAGCATGAGCCCTGTCACGAAGCCCGCAGCGTCATTACAAATCGAGCAGAGTGCAACAAGTAAGTGATTGAATACTTTTGCTCACAGCTTTCCCTCGCTGTAGAAATTCTGGCTCAGAGAAGAAGTGAAGGAGAAAATGGTTGCTTGCAGATACCGGATCTACACTACTTCCAACAACCAGGAGCATGAGCCCTGCCACGGAGTCGGCAGCGTCAACCAAAGAAGGTTGTGGTTGTTGACCCTAGCTTTGGTGTCTCGATGCGATTCTGTTTCATTCCAAAGTGGACCAATCGCAGATTTCGGAGCTAGGGCACTTCCAACAACTAAGAGCATGAGCCCTGTCACGAAGCCCGCAGCGTCATTACAAATCGAGCAGAGTGCAACAAGTAAGTGATTGAATACTTTTGCTCACAGCTTTCCCTCGCTGTAGAAATTCTGGCTCAGAGAAGAAGTAAAGGAGAAAATGGTTGCTTGCAGATACCGGATCTACACTACTTCCAACAACCAGGAGCATGAGCCCTGCCACGGAGCTCGGCAGCGCCAACACAGTCAGAACCGATTACATCAAGTAATAAATCTGACCAAGGAAGATAGGTATTTCGAAATGGCCATACACAATTTTACCTACACTGTAGGAAAAGTATTTCCACATCTGAAACGCGCGTGCCACACGTGCCTGCTGCAAAAACGTCTTTCATCTTCTGTGGGCTCCAGGTTCAGTCGCTGAAAGCAGCGCGTAAGGTTGTTAGCAATTCCTCGAAAAACTATTCGTATGGGTAGCTATAAGCAAACGTTGATCGAGTAATGTAGTAGGAAGCTTTTCCAACGATGCTGCCACGAAGGCAATGTGGCGACGGGAGAATCCGTCGCGGAATAGATCCTACTATCCTCACGCCTATGAGCTCGGACCACTACCGCTGCTCTGTTTTGCTTCATAACTCCGTTCGAAAATCGTTTGGCAGATTTGGAAAGCAGATTCGAGATCAGCGTCAAAAATATGTCCAACATTGTAGGTCTCATTGCATATAACCACTTCGACCAATCATCCTTTCCTGGTGAGCTGTCAAGAGGCACCTAAAAGAGCAAAGGCACAAACTTCCTGCCTGCAGCTACGAAGTTTCATCGTAAAATTTTGCTTGGTTGCGAAATGGCGTTGGAAGGAGATGCCAAAAATAATGAAGTAAAAGCTTCCGGTGTTGACTGATTCCGTGAATGCGCTAGACGTTTTATTTCATTCAGAATCGTAACGGCGAATGCATATAATCTATTCAAGACATGTGAAGGCCAGTCAATGTGTATCTAAGGTTTTTGGTTCTCCCAGACAAATCTAGTACTAATTGACCGACTTCGAAAGGATGGAAAGCTTGGTTAATTCTGAGCGAGGTACGATCCTAATTTTCGCTTCAGGACTTCGGAAGTGTGTGAAACATGGCGCCAATGCCGCTACACCCTAGAAATATGGTGCGAATAACAAATGAGAGTTGAATTCGCACTCTCAATAAAATTCGGGCAGAACACAGAAAGTAATTTGAAAAACACCAGTAGCCTGTAGCTTACTTCTTGTGATATTTTACGCAAAATCGCATTGAGCCTTTGGGACTCTTGGGAGCATGGGAAGAGGGAGCTGCGCGCAGGAGGAGTAGTCCTCAGCGCTAAGATATCATAGGACGCTTTCACGGCGCTTGCTATCGCTACCGCCACGCGGAATGCATTTTAAGCTCTAGTAGCTTGTACGATCAGGGGAACTCTAAGATCAACAAGGGAGAGGAGTCGTATTTGACCAGTAGAAAGGGGATCAGTCACAGGACCTCAGGAGCCCAATTCGCACAACAAAGTGGCAAAGGAGGGCTGGCTTTCAAATACCAAAGGAAGTGCTAACGGGCGAGTACAAATCACAGAGCGGCCTTCCAGACACATCATATTCCACTGAGCAGAAAACTCCCATGCTTTCGAAGCAAACCAAAATAAAGTGATCTTTCAAGGGCGTCATAGCAATATATCCGGTGGATTGCCTTCTAGAGATCTGGTTTGAAATTTTGGCAAGGGAGAAAAGTTCTCATTTCGGAATTTTTAGAAGATGCTTGCGCCTCTCATAAAGGACTGATCACGCAGGCTTCAATAGCGTCCATTATACCAATATCAAAGAAACCTAAGGACATTCAAAGGTTGAGCATTCGTGGTTCACGAAAATGATCTGCAAATTCTAGAGAAAAAAAAACTAAACAATGGGACTATTTTTCGAAAGGGATCTATCATGGAACTCATAGCACTTTTTAGAAGTACTAGACCAGTGATTTCAATTCAATGCTAGAGATCCGCAAAAATTCTTATAACGAAACTATAAGCAACTTAATTAACTAGCTTACACGAGAAAAACTACAGAATGATTGGCTCCCCTATCCCAACACACAAATTAAAGTGTCCAGTGGCGTCGTACACGTGAAGTGGTACCGGAAAAGAAGCTCAAAGAACATCTTGATTCATGCTACATCTGCACACCCATCTGCTGTGAAACGTGCTATTGTCAAGAACATGTACAAAACAGCAATGAGTATGTGCAGCGATGTAGCCGAACGTGAAGAATCAAAACGGTTAGCTTCAAGCATAGCTCGATCAAATGGCTATACGGCATCACATCATGTTGGAAGACCATGTTGACAGCAGAAACACAGCACGCCGAGATAAGGTTCCTCTATGCTTGCCATTCATCTCTGATAAAGTATCTGCTGCAATACAACGATGTATTGTTCGCGCACAATTGAGCGATGATGTTGTTCTAGTTAACATCCCGAATGATAACATCAAACGCCAAATTGTGAGGAACAGACTCTACGACAGGCAGTGCTCAACAGAGAATTGTATTACATGTTCGAACGGGAGAAATGGTGATTGCGCTTCAGCAGGCGTAATTTATCAGATTCAGTGTGAAGCATGTAATTCAACATACATAGGGGAAACTGGGAGAGTTCTATCAGTGCGGATTAAAGAACATTTAGCTGGTAAACGGCGCTGTAATGTGTTGACACCATAGGGGAAATACAGGTAGAACAGCATGACTGTACTGTAAACATTCTCGGATTTCAGTCAGAAATTCAGAAATGAATAACCGAAATGAGTGTGTGTCTATCACAAATGATCTCTTGCCATTCATGCAACATTGCGAGTTTCTTCCATAATCAGCGAAGGTGCTTGTCCGATATACTGATACAGTATAAGGACAGCGAAGTAACATCATTCGCTACTGATGTTTACTGATCCGATGTACTGATACAGTATAAGGACAGCGAAGTAACATCATTCGCTACTAATGTTTACTAACTGAGTGTAGTATTTCGCTACACTTTGCGGTGGAACAAGGTGAGCTGAGCTTTTGTGTTCTGGAGTTTTCCGTGCGTCCCTGACAGGACGTCAGAAACGCTAGAGGGGATGAGGCGTTTGATAGGGTAGTGTGCACTTCTTAAGCTCTTGAGCCATGTTCAGGCCTTTGAAAACGACGGAACGGTCGAAACGTTGGCCAGAATAAATCTTCCACCTTAACAACCTCAAGGCAGAAGTACAATCAACAATTACAATAACAACGAAATGCCGAGGTTTCAAGATGAGAGAACTTGTAAGCTATGAGCGTTTTCTTGAAAACCACACGTGCTTGAAAGAAAAAACAGAACAACACGTCTGTTGTTTAGGAGCTATACATTCGCAACCACCGAACACTTATTAGGAGGAAAACAGCTTGAATTTTCTTTTAAATTTTTGTATTCCTTCTCACATGCTAGTGACGAGGAGTACCACCTTCCTAACAAACAGGTTCGCACAAATTTTTCAAGGTTTTTTTTTTCTAGCCTACAAAGTGGATATTTGGGGGTATGAGAAAAGCTCGGTAGGTTTATGGATTAAGCTCTGCGATTACAAGCAAA